ATACATGAATATGTATATACAAACATATTTATATACATGTGCACTTTATGTATGTATGATTGTGTGAGGAAAAGTGTCTGAAAGAAGTGTATTTAAATGTATGTAATGTGAGACTGTAAGAGAAAGACAGATAGGGGAGAGGGCATACTGTGTACTTGTATAGATCTCTGTGTACATGTGAATATATTTTCACATTGTACTAGATATGAACAGGAAAGGGTCAGAAACATACAACTCATTTTTGGCAACTAGGAAACAGATTCTTGACCTGGGAGACCAGGAGAAGATGATAATGCTGGAATGAGAAGCAGGGTTAGTGCCAATGTCAAAAAATAGTCTAAGGGGTAAGTGAAAAGATTTGGCCTGGAAGACAGGGATTGTTTTCCTTTTGTCTTTGTATCTTTGTGCCTAATACATGGTAGGTTTGTAATAACTATTTGTAGAATTGAGATGGGTAAAGAACAGGCCTTCAGGTTTCACAGTTTCTTCGATTTAGTAAAGTCAGATCTTCTGGGTGTGTGTTTATTTCTATCTTAGGCTATGTGAGGCCCAAAGAAAATAAGTAAGAGAGTTAGGCAGCATTAGTGAGGACTTATGACTATGAATCTTACGCTCTTTCTACCATACTATGCCACCCTCTAGCACAGTGAAGTGAGGTTGATAGCAAACCTACACTATCTGAGTCAAAGACATGAAGGTCATATGAGGAAAGTATGAAGGCGTATATAAAAGGAATGTAATGTGTAATTTGCATATGCAAATATATACATATTTATACACATACATGAATGCAACATATACATGGTTGCATACATCTTTACGTGTGCCCAATTGCTGAATTCCAGCTACTGGATCATAACATTTCCACTACAACTACTACACTATTGATAATAACAATTGATGTCTACATAGTATTTGAAAATTTACAAGGTGAACTAGGTCCTGGCGGTCACCTCAATGTCTTCTACAATGCAGTATGTCTTCAATGGGAGCAGATAGGAATCTAGCATCTATAGACATGGATTCCTGTTTGGAGTGAATGATTATATAGGCTAGAAGCTGCTCTCATTAAGTTATTGCTATTATCATATGAACAATAAGAAGGGCCCATCTGGCTTACACCACTGGTTTCTAAGAGGGTCTCTCTACACGAAGACTCCAGGTGTTCAGCCACCACTGGGCCACTACTTACCAGGGCCCCATGGGATTCCATTAATTTATCCACTAGGTATAGGGGTGCCTGCCTTCAGTGTCTTTTATTGTTCACTCTATGCCATATCTACTATTGAAATGTATTTTAGGAGGTGAGGGCAAAATCATTGTTAAAGTGAAAATTATGCTTTGAATGGAAGTGTTTAAAGTGGAGGAATGAATGCCTATTACCTAGAACTCCATACTACTCAGGAGAACAGAACCAGTTATCCTGGTGACAGTGTATGGCATTACTCAAACATCCAATTATTTCTATCCGAAGTGGCCCTAGATTGCCAGGGATAGAGAAGAGCATGGTAAATCTTAATATAGAGATCAGTGCACAGAGTAGACCAAAATTCTGATGACGAACAAATAAACAACAACAACAAAAAGAATGTTTCATGAGAGCCATAATTACCTAGGGGAGAATAGGCTTGGTGTAGGAGGTGCAAGGGGGAGCCAGGACAGAAACCAAAGGGAGTTGTCTTTGTGGGAGTGTCTGCTATAGACTGATAGATAGCCTTGTCACAGGGATGAAATTCCACTGCCGACCAGGGTCACGGATGGACTTCTAAGACTACAAGAAATCAGGGGAGGGGTCCAGCACTTGGGCACGGATCTCATGACTGACATACGACAGAATCCCTGAGTGACAAGTGGCAGCTTGAACTCTCTTTGCCAATGGCACAACCACAGCACCCATTAGACCTCTCTGGGGGGCAATTAGACATAGGGCAGGTTTTCCTACCTTGTGCCTCCTGGTATGTAAGCATGCCTGTATGTTTGGATGCATGTGTACGTGTATGCACCTCTTCTTTAGATGGTACGAAGCTAGGCTTGGGTATGTACAAGCTATGCCTCTTGCTGTAATAACCTTTTTCTCAATCCTAATTCTCCTTGACCTCCTTGAAGATTCTGACACTTCCAACCACCATTTCCCTTCTAGATAATCTCTCTTCCCCTTGCTTCTAAAACCCTACTTTCTCTCAGTTTTTCCTTCTGCTCCTCAGACTGCTCCTTGGTCTTTCATGGATAACTATCCTTCTGCTTCCTACTAAATTTCAATATGTAACTTGCCTTCTCTCCATATACACACTCTCTCAAAGATCTCAACAATTCCTATGCATTTAATAATCCTTATGCTGATTTCTTACATATGTGTATCTACCTATCACCTAAATAATTTATATCCTGATTGGGAAAGAGAAGGTTGTTAGTTGTCAGGGCTTATGGAAAGATCAAAACTAGTGCATGTATTCCATATGGGACTGACTGAATCCGTCTCCAGTGTATCTCAGGTTTTGCATGGAATAACTCTTCTTTCAGGTGATGAAGTGGGATGCACTCTGCATCCTCCTGGAAGATTCTTGGTGGCCTCTTCCCTCCAGGGAGTTAGGGTGTTGGTCTATTAGTTACGGTCTCTATTATCCACAGGTCCTTGAATGAGAACCACAGGCATAGCTAATCTTGAAGCCTAATTACTGTGTAATTATTCTTCCTCTTCTCCTGCCCATGACTTTATTATACTGGCTGCTAGGTCAGAGGGAAGGGTGGCATAAACTGCTCTTAACCATACTGATTATATTTTTGCACCAAAGACATAGGGTAGATTCTATGTACTGCCTCATGTCCTTGTTAATATTTTTGTGTTTACTGTTTCATTGGGTATCCTTTCAGTTTTACCCTATAGTTTGTTTTCAGGGGGAGATACAATGAAAAGTGAAAAGGTAAAACAGTAACTGAAGAGAAAAGGAGCACTAGAAAGGCAGCACTGGACGTGGGAGTCTAGAGAGATCTGGGTTCAATCCTGCCTTTGACACTGAGGGGTGGTACAGGGAAAAGACCACTAGGAGTCACAAGATCTCTTCCATCCAGTGATGCTTTTCTCTCCTGGCACTCTTTCCACTGCGCTCCCTAGAGGCTGTGTTAGGTCACCAAATTGTCTTAGGTGGCCAAAAAGAGCTGGAGGGTTGAACTCTGCCTAAAGGGGAACCATGCCACTCACTAAGGTGCCCTGGAGACAAGGCACCCAACAGGGAGAAGATTTGACAGAGAGTAATACTAGATCTATCAGTGACACCTCCAGAAGACACCAGCAGGTCTCAGGCATTGGTAATGTTAACTACCCTTCAATACATGTGCTGTGATCAAATGTGTTCCCATTTGCATGTATCCCATATGCAACTCTTAGGCATTTCTAGTCTTCTGACTGAGGGTGTGGATTTGTAGGAGAATGAGTTCCCTCTACATTACTAGTGTTAAACTCAAATAGAAATGGGGTCTACTAGTCTGTATATAAGGATCTCTATGTCTTAATTTAAAATACATTATCTATATTTTATTATATTTTAATTTGTTTAAATATTTCCCAATACCATTTTAATCCATTTCAAGCTATACTCAGGAACGTTGTGGACTGCATGCAGCCTGAGGGCCATATTTTTGATACATTTACTCTATATTACTTCTTTGATTTAAACTAAGTATATAAAAGTAAACACACTAATGATGGAGTCAAGAGCTATATTTTGCAAAATAGTATGGACCACAAAGTGTCTAGCAGGTGGAGCAGCTTTCTGGGAAGCCATGAGGGAACTTCTATATATGGGTGTAAATGTATATTTTCATGTATGTCATGGTTTATGTATGTGTGTGTACTTCATGTCCATGCTTAAGCATACATATATGTATGAGAACATTATTAAATCAGTCAACATTTATTAAGTGTCTAGTATATGTCAGGCACTATGCTAAGCACTGAAGACACAAAAAGAGGCAAAACACAGTCTTTTCCCTTACAGGACTCACAATCTAGTTGGGGAAATTACCAAACCAATATGTACGAATGAGCTACACAGAAGTTCAATAGAAAATAATTAAGAGAGGGAAGGCACTAACATTAAGGGACATCAGGAAAACCTTAGAGCAAATAATGGTACTTAGTTGGGACTTAAAGCAAGCCAGAAAAACCAGTGGTAGGAGATGATGAGGGAAGAGTATTCCAGACATGAGGGACACCCAGAAAATATGCCAGGAGGTATCTTATTCATGGAAAAAGCTAGGTCAGAGTCACTAGATCTAAGAGTACACTTCTTCTCTCCTATACTGTTACATTAGCCTCCTAATTAGTTAGGATTTCATCTCAAATAACTCTCCTGACCATCTATCATACTACTACAAAGGTGACATTACTAAAGCACAAGTCTGGTCATGTCACTTACTTCATCAATGAACTCCAGCAGTTCTCTGTTACCTCTAGCATCAATAAAGCACAGATTCCATGCAATTACTAAACAAAGGCACTGCCAGTATTTGTCCACCTTGTCCCCCTAACAGGTAGAACCCACAAGACTTTCATTCACTGGATGGATGGGGAAATGGTCCAGGTTCCTGCAGCACATCCCCTTCAATTTTACCAATGGGACCCCATTAATAGATAACCTGAGGTTCAGGATGACAGATGGAAAAAAATGAACTGAGCTGAGACTTCAACACTGACAGTGGTTACTGACCTGAGGAGGCTGGGAGAACTGGAGCAGGAACTAATCCAAGATCCTCTACGGGAAAGAAAAGCAGAAGATAATGAGAGACCCATCTAGTGCATAAGTAGACAATTGGGAACTGAAAATAGGAATGGAGCTGGAGGAGAGTATTAGGGAGTGGAGTTCCGTTTGTGCCCTGAGGAATGGGAATGAAAAGTGCTCGGTCTCAGCACCACAAACTCCACAAATAAAGGCTTGTAGACGGACCCAAACACAATAACATGATTTGTAAGCTTTGATACGTTAACTGTATGAAATAGTGAATCATTTAAACAAGAGGAGTTTATTAAGCACCGGCTATGTGCCAGGCACTCCTACACTAAAGGCATGCAGAGAGGCAGGAATTCAGGATGGAAGAGAGATGTCTGCAGGCTGATGGGTTGCAGAAGACTTCTTGAACGAAGTGACACTTGATCTGGGTCTCAAGGGAGTGGGAGGATCTTCTGCACGGCCCCGGTAGAGGGAAGAAGAGGATCTGGGGTCCTCTTGTCTCCAGCTGAGTAGAAGCTTGGCTTAATGTTGTTATGCTGTTGGTTCTTGTCTTTGAATTCTAAATAAACAAATTGGGAGTTTTAACTTTTCAATGATTAACTTCAGATATTCAAACTGGAGACTGATATTAAGTGGGCAAAACCATTCAACACACACCAGAGTTCTTAAAGGAAGTTTTAAGCACGCACAGAGCTTGTAGTTTGGACCTCAGTGTTTCCTGCTAAGGATGAACTGGCCTGAGAAAAACCAGTGAAATATGGGGTCATAAATATCACACCACTGTTCCAAAGATCCTATATCGTTGTCTCCGCTTTAGAACTTTAAATGGCAATTCTTGCTCTTTCCTTTCTTCTCTCCTATCTGATCCAGGGTACATGAATATCAGACCCTAGATAGGAGTGGGCAGAGGCTTGCAGAGGATAGGGGCCATTCCTGAACTCTCTGCATGTCTATGGGGTGACCTTTTGATAATGACCCATTAAAGTTTTGTGTAGCTAGGTGACACAATGGATAGAGCACTGGACCTGAAGTCAGGAAGACTCATCCTGAGTTCAAAACTAGCCTTAGAGACTCAGTAACTGTGTAACCCTAGGCAAGTCACTTAATGCTGTCTGCCTCAGTTCCTCATCTGTAAAATGAAGTAGAGAACAAAATGGCAAACCACTCCAGTATCTTTGCCACGAAAACCTCATATGGAACCAGGAAGAGTCATGACTCAACAGCAAAAGTTATTTTATAGAACCAAATTCTTTCTCCTCCTTGCTATTGTGCATGCCATCTGAATGACTTCTTGTTATTTGGCACTCATTTTCAAAAAGAAAAGAACTTCTACCCCTGCTCCTGACTCAACACAGACTCCAGGGAATTGTCTTAAATTCAGCATTCTAATCATGCTCTTCCTGGAACGTTTTCCTTGTGCTGAGATACAATGCTTGATCGAAGCCTGACCCATTTCATTTCACCTCCTCCTTTTTCCACTGGTCCCCACCCCCCTTTTCTCCTTTCCTCAGCTGAGGCCACAACTCTGTTCTCCCCTATCTACCTTCTCCCCCTTCTCTTCAATTCCTTCCCCCACCTACTGGTGCCTCCTGAACTTCTCTTGCAACCAGCAAACTCTCCTCCTGGCCCAGGTGTTCTTCCTCCCTAGTATCAGGGAACAGCGACTGAACTCCACTCCTCCCAACCTTGATTGTTGGGAAGAAGCATAGAGGTGACCCTCCCTATCTCAGCCCTATGTCATGTATCCCAATTGGATCCTCTTACTCTGAAGTCAAAAGTCAGAAATTATTAGATAAGCATTTATTAAGCACCTATGTTGTGCCAAACACTGGGCTAGGTGCTGGGGATATGCATGTAAAAATGAAACAGTGCCTGCCCTGAAGAAATTTACATTCTTTAGAGGAAAACTATTTGTAAGCACAACTGTACAGAGTGAATATGAGGTAATTTTGGTCTGAGAGAAGCCCTAGAACAGGATTCCAAGGAAAGAAAGAGGGAGGAAGGAAAGAAAGAAGAGAGGGGTCAAGGGCAGAGGGAAGGAAGAAGAAAGGAACCTTGGGGGCCGCGCAAGTGGGAGGAGGAAGCGCCAGCCCTCAGGCGGACCCTTACCCTGCCTAGCTCGCACCCACAGCTCCGTCAGACCCATCTTCTCCCAGACGCTCAGAGCAATCTTCCAGGACTCTTGAGGCCCACGAGAACTGACCAGAAGATCGGCCACTTTGGCGCGATCGGCCCCCTCCAGGCAGCCCCGGGGGAGGCAGTCCACCAGGTACAACTTGAATTTCTTCAGCTCCTCCGATGTCAGGTGCTCCAAGTGCCGAACCACCCGGCAGCGGACATTCTCTGCCATCTCAGCCCCCATCTATGCCCTGCTACCTACAAAATGGGACTAGAGGAAAAAAGTGAAAATAAAGTCTAGTTCCACGTCCCTGGAATGCCTAGTGGATGAGCTAGGACCAGGCACTCCCCTGGAGCTTTGGATTTTCCGCTAGACCATTGGCCAAAGGGGAGGAGGAGTCTGGACTTCTTTTTCTGACTGTTAACTCTTAATGGCTTGGACTACTCCCAGCACCTATTCAGAGGAGCCGGGGCCCCTGAGCCTGAGACTGGGGAGAGGAGCCTGTACCAACGTCCCCACCCCAGTCCAGATTATTTACATTTTCCTTCTTCCAGCAGAGCCTCCAGCCTACATTGACCTACTGACTTGGAATCTGAGGTTCTGGATTCAAATCCCATTCATGACAGTTATTGCCAGTATTGCCTTAGGCAAGTCACTTAACCTCCATAGGCTTCAGTTTCCTCATCTGGAAAATGCAGGACAGAAATTAGACTAAATGGTCTCTGAGATCCCTGCCTTTTGATAGATAATATTTGTAAAGCATTAGCACAATGCCTACCCCTTAGCAGGGGCTTAATAAATATTAATTGAATTTCAGGGTGCTTAATAAATGCTCCTCCTCCACTCTTTCAGCTCTGGATCTGTGATCCAATGATTTCTTAGTTCTTTCCTAAAACACAAATCACCCTGCGTCCTCTGACGATGGGCATCCTTCTGATTTCGTATTCTTCCCTTATAACTAACATTCCTAGAGCTAGGTAGGAGGTTTCTCTGAGCTGAGCTTTGAAGGAAACTTTCTATCCTTAGTATTTAATGGAACAGCAGTTGCTTAGGTGTGTATAGCAGTTGTTCAGTCTCTTCGACTCTTCGTGCCCCCATTTGGGATTTTCTTGGCAGAGACACTGGAGAGGTTTGTCATTTTCTTCTCCAGCTCATTTTACACATGAGGAACTGAGGTAAACAGGGTTAAGAGACATACCCAGGGTCACCTAGCTAGTAAGTGTCAGAGGCCAGATTTTGAACTCAGAGATGATTCTTCCTGCCTCCAGGCCTGGCACCCCATCCACTGAGCCACCTAAATGCCCCATGTAAGCAGTACTTGAGCTCTTTGAAGTGAACCCAGAAAGGCAAGAACTGTTCTCCCTTTTGTTCTACTTGAGAAGAACAAAATTGTATTTTTTGTTGTTTGTTTAGGCCTTACTAAAAGAAAACAAGATCAAACAAGGGTTAGGGGCTTTCCTTGAGGAAGATGGGAAGGTTATAATTGGCAACAGAGGGAATGCAGTTACTAAATTCTTATTACGTTTTTCCCTCAGGTCACATATGCAGTCAGTTGCCAAATCTTGATGTTTCTACCTCCACAGTAGTTCTCACATCTATTTCCTGCTCTCTATTGCTCCAACCCCGACCCTGATTCAGTCTCTCATATCCTCACCTGGACAGGCAACAGCCTCCCACTTCATTTCCACACTTCAGGTCCCTTACTTCTCCAATCTATCCTCCCCATGGCTGCTGCCAGTAATGTTCCTAAAACAGGTCTGACTGTGTCACTACTCCAAAACTCCCCTGGCTCCCTATTGCCTCTAGGATGAAATATAAATACCTGTCTTTGGCACTTAAAGCCCTTTACAGCCTAATCCTACTGAGAATAAAAAAAATAGTAACATTGTATGTTTAGACATAGGTTTGTTGGAAACAATTTTATTTAAATTATCATTATTTAACATCAAAGCCCTTTCTACATTGGAGAAAGAGTTTTCAAACTGGAATAATCCCCTACGTATCCTTGGACATGACTGTACCACACAATGACTTGAGGTAACATTCACAGAAATCTTGAACAAAGAAAGGATCATAATGTGTTGCCTATCAGATAACATTAATCCAGTTGAGTGCATCCTCACTTCATCTACTCAGCAAAAAGCATAAACAGAAAACCATTTTGAGAGAAGTTATTATTAATAACCAATAATTTGGGGAGATCCAGAGTTTTCTCCTTTTTCTAAAGTCCTGGTTTTTAAAAGTTCAATCTTCTGAAGGACATTGCAGATAATGAGTATTCTGATTCTACTTTCAAATCTGGAAACTTTTATAAATTGTTGGAGAGCTCCCCCTCTCTTAATTTTGGGTCACAATCAAAAGACAAAAAGAGATGGTTTTGCCCTGGATTCCTGTTACTGCTTCACCTCTCAGCCACAGTGTAAAGGACTCAGTCTAGTCTCCCATGGATGTCCCCTAGCAACTCTCACTCAGAGATAAAATAGTCAGAAGGCCTGTGTTGTTAGCTCTAATGCTATAACAGGGACAAGTAGGGCAAGAGGGATTCAGAAAAGAAACAGTGGGAAGTGTGAACATGTGGGAGCCATTGTTAATCATGTTGTAGGAGATAATCTGGGCCTCAGAGAGATCCCCACTTGACAGGAGGTGGGGTTAGGGGCAGGAAAGGATATTGATCAGAGCCAGCCTATATTCATCCCCCTTCCTCTGTCTCAACCCAGAATCCATACTGGGGTGACAAACAGACCTCATCCTTATAACCCACAGATTACACACACCCAGCCCTCCCTCTGCTCTGGATCCCACCTCCACTTCCCAGTAGGATCTGCCTGAAGACAGGCTCTCAAAGCCCAGGACAATATTGTGGTGGTAAAATCGCTCTGGATGGTCAGTAGGTCCAACTTCGTCTCTCTGTCTCTCACGCTTCTCCTGTCCTCAGACACTATGAGGTAGGCATAGGTTATGTTTGGATTGAGGGTAACTTGGGCTAGGAAGAGAAGTCTTGAGTTTGACACTAGAGGACTGGCATATGGAAAGGGGCAGGGAAGGAGGGAAGACAGGATTTCTGAGACACAGACAAGGCAATGGGTTATAGGCACTAAGGAGCCAGGAAGGGTGAAGAGGACCATATGAGTGTGGAATAATAGATTTTATGACCACATCTGTAAGGTTCAAGTCCACTTCACTTTTCTAGTGTGAACCACTTCTACCCTCTTAACCCCATATCTCTTATCTGCAAACATTCTCAGGATCTCTCTCATCCCTGGCACAAGACACACTGTCTTTAGTCCCAGAAGAACAGGCTTTGGCAAATGAAGACTCCAGCCTTCACTCCTGGGCACAAGCCATACCCATTTACCAAAGGAGAAGTCTACAGTCCCATCTTCATCATTTTCTTTTTGTGCTCCGTTCTGGATTTAGAGGTGTGCAGAGGATTGAGGATTTTGTCCTCTGTAAAATGAGAAAGTAGACTAGAAATTCTCTCTGAGACCCTGGGAGAAAGGTCTTACTAGGGATGTGACCTTGAGCAAGTAGAAGAACTGGGATGTGAACTCATGTGCTCCTTTCCACTATACCATGTTAGGGTGTCAGGGCTTTTGCAGACATCCTCATCTTCAGAGGCTAATGAAAAGAAATCACTTTAAAGGCAGAAATTCCAGGATGGAGAAGGGAAGCCACCCCATTGCAAGCCAAAGCTAGTGGAGGGAGGAACTTGAGGGACAAATGGGATCAAGTTCCCAGACCTAGGAGAAAATCTTCTCTTTGGAGCGATGGGTCTTAACCAATTGTCCATGGATAGATTTCAGGGGATCCATGAACATGGTTGGAAAAAATTACACATCTGCTTAAAAAATATAATCTGTTACCTTTTGTAATCCTGTGTACTTTATGTATTTAAAAACAGGATTTTGAAACAGGATCCATAGGCTTCACCAGACTTTCAAAGATATCTATGATGCACAAAAGAGATAAGATCCCCTATATTAGGTGATGTCTGAGGCCGGAACTGACCTCTGGGATGGATGACAGGTCCTGACATTCTACCAGTGGTGCATTTCCAAGGGAAGAGTATAAGAACTCTACAAGTGATTTCCTGTGAGTAATATGCTTTATAAACTTTGAATGTTACAGCTTTATATAAGTGGTTAATATCATAGTTGTTGCTATCAAGAATTATACATGCCATCTGGGGGTGGGGGGAGGGGTGAGATGGAGTGAAAATTTGGAACTCAAAAACTTGTGGAAGTGAATGTTGAAAGCTAAAAATAAATAAATTTATATTTAAAAAAATTTTAAAAATAAACCTTAACCGAGAAAAAAAAAAAGAATTCTGAGGAAAAAAAAGAATTCTGAGAGGAAATCTGTTTTAATGGGGAAAAAAACCCTCTTATCCCCATATTTTCCCACCTGGATTGGGGGCTCCTTGTGGTTATGACTTAGAATCTATACCATGGGCAGGCCACTTAACTTTTTTTCCTGCCAAATGTTAGTGAGCCAGTCTCACTAATACTGGAATGCTCAGAACTACACAAGCAGGCCTAGAGACAGCAGTGCCTGTAATCAAGAAGCAATTTAATTAATCAATTTCAGAGTGAGAAATGCTCTCTAAATTGGAGTAAAAGCATACATAAATCATAGGAGGGGGTAGGAAGGGTGGAGGGGGATTACAAACAATCATTTCTCAGGGCCTGAGTGGTTTCCCTCCCCCAGCCCAGAAGTCCACAATCCAACAATTCTAGAATCAAGTCTTGGGGGGTCTAGGGTTTGATTGATCATTTCAAGCTGCATTGTATGTTCTGACCCCTGAGCCAGAGAGTCAGCTCTTGAGAAATCTAAATTATTAGGTTATTCATTATATATATTGTATCTATTAATATAAAAATCATAATGCCCTTCACACAAATTACTCACCGCCAAGTCTTAACATGTCAAATATGCTTAAGGAATCATGGAAAGGGGATGAAGGTTGACAGGGGTAGAAATAGTTTCCCCTGGACAAAATGAAGTGCTTCTGGGGTGGAAGAGTCCTGCAACTGAAGGCATCTTCCAGTTTTAAGGTTCCTCCCAACTTTGACATTCTATATTTTTAGAGTTCTTCCTTTCCTCCTCTGGCAGATGAGAAGGTTTGACAAGCAAGGACATTTTTAATATTAGATTCCTTGGTCTTCTATCTCCCAGTCTACTCCACTGGATATTATTGGGGATTATGAGAAGCATTTAAGTAAAGTCTGGGGACCTAGGTTCAGATCCAAATTCTGTCACTTACCGATTGGCCTTGGGCAACTCACATTACCCACTCCATCTCCTATTCCCTCTGTTTTGTAAAAGTAAGGAGTTGGACTAGTCCTCTAAGACCCCTTTCAGCTCTAAATTTATGATCTTGAATACTTAACGTGAGGTGAATGCACCAATACCTCTCAGTTCAGAGGCTGGGTGTTTGAGGATTCTAGGGACAACATAGTCTATACTGTGTAATCCAAGGCCACTTTAGATCCCAAAAGGCTCTGTTTCTGTTTCCATTCTCACTCCTCTTCCTCTCTCCCATGCCCCTCCTCCTGTTCTGGCCCATTATGAGGCAGATTGTTCAAGATGTCCTGAATACTCTGGGGAATTAAGACATAGGATGAATGCAGTGTCCTTTATTAACACATAATACAAGTTTTATGGAGGGAGGCCAGTTCATGTTCCCTTGTCCCCATGTCTATACAAAGGGAGGTAAAGGTGTAGATGAGATTAGGATTAACATCATTGGGCCATGCTTCTACTTACTAAGATAAGGCCTCTTCACATCCCACTCCATGCATTTCCAGGCCTGGGTATTTCCTTAGACTTTTGTTAAAACTTGTATCTTTGCAAACAGATGCTGATCACTATTAGGTCAGACCTGAGAGGCTGGGTAGGAGTTACTTCTATAGGAAACCCAGGGGGAAAAACAAGGAAGGAGACTGAGAAAAAGCTTTTCCAAAAGCACCAAGGACTGGGGTTTTTGTGAGAAAGGGAAGAGAATTGAAGGCTGAAAATATGACCGGGAGTGGGGGGAGAAGGGGGAGGGGGAGGGGGTGAAGAGTGAATGTGCTTAATAGTTGCCAGGCTGCCTAAGGAGACCATTTTGAATGAACTCCCAATTCCCCTCCATGTTTCTTCTTCACCTCACAGCCTGATTGCATCCCCCACTAATTCTGGGGTCAGTGTTTACAGGCACTATTAGCTTGGCCCAGACTTTTCTTTATCCCTCCTCCACAGAACCTCAGAGTTTCTAACCCCAGTTGTACAAATACAGCAATCTACTTTATAGCCTTCCTGTCCAAGGGTTATCCAACTTCTGATTTGGGTTCTCCAGTGATGGAGAACACACTGTACTCCTGGGGTAGCATATTCCCATTGTAAATATCTCTAAGTGTTGAGGGAGAATAGGAGGAAGGGAGAAAGCAGGGGAATGAGAGCCTTTCAAGTGCCTGAAAACAGACATTATGTCCGTTCTGCTTAGTCTCAGAAGGGAAGACCTGGAAGCTGTAGAAAGTAAACTTTTTCATACATTGGGCTAAGATCTACCTAAGTCACCATTTCATTGCTCCTAATTCTGATTTAGAGACCCAGAGCAAAGAAAGGACAAACAGTAAGGGTATGTAAAGGCTCCAGTAAAGGGAAAGGGGGATGGTGAGGCTATGCCCCTGTCCTATTGCCTTTTGGAGGACATAGATTGTGTCTACTAGAGCCCCAGTAAGATAGCTCTTAACATAACTAACCCAGGCAAAAGAAAATGATGAGGCTCAATGACTCCATTTGTGTTCCTGCCCTCTGAGTATTTTCCCAAGCTCAGGTTGAGTCCTAGTTAGTATAACCCCACTGCCCCACACCGCCAGGGAAGGAATGAATGAAAGTCCCTTAAAAGGTTGAAATGTGTATATTCTATCACCAGTAAGGGAGAAGAAAAGGGCAGCTAGGTGGGGCAGTGGAAAGAGTACAAGGTCTGCAGTCAGGAAGACTTACTTTCCTGAGTTCCACTCTGGTCTCAGATACTTCCTAACTATTGTTTCCTCATCTGTAAAATGAGCTGGAGAAGGAAATGACAAACCATTCCAGTATCTTTGCCAAGAAAAATCAAAGATGCAGAGTGAGGGCCAACAAGACCTTTTAAAACTAGGTGTGTCTTCCTTCTAAATGTCCTGACAGGACATCATTTGGACCTTCCCTGGCAAAAGCTAGACAATCCTGATTGGCAGACATTTTTATAAAGAAGCAGGATGAAAGTTCTCAGCTCCTCCCTATTACTTCACCCTAAGGAATTTAGTGGAGAAGACTGTTAGCTAGGTACTGAACTCCTAGAGAAAGGAGGGAGAATAACTCAGAGGCTAGATTACCAGAAAAAAGAATCCAGACAGTGTGATAGATAAGTGAGGTGAACTTCCAAAGAGGAGAGGCTTCTGAGTGAGGGTCAGAAAAGTGGCAGCTCTGGCTGTTGCAGCGTTTGAGAGAAGTATCATCCAGCACTACATATTACAATGAGGGATAAAGTGTCTCTGGGGAGAAATCCAGGTTACTATGAGTGTCAGAAAATGGAGAGTATGAAAGGAAGGTCTCTGAGACAAAAGGGAGTATGGTACCAATAGATTCCAGAGGGTGATTGCAGAAAGTGGAGGGCAGAGGTGGACAGAAAATGATTGGGGGAAGGGCTAGGATCTGAAGGGCTGAAAATGAAGTCTGCCCTGGGAAGAGGGTTTCCAACTCATCAGAATGAATCTGAACCACAGTGATAAGGGGAGTGAAAGTATTATTTAGATCAAGATAGAGGTAGAAAGGTCTTTGGGTATGATATTCCAGCAAGCCCTGTAATGGAGACTTGTAATCTCAGGTAAACTGTGACTTGGGATGGTGGGTTGTTGTTTGTTTGTTTGTTTTCCAGCAGGAGTGGTCCTGTATGATTCTTTATTATCCAACCAGGGAAAGGTAAGTAGGAGAGACTTCCTAGATATTAATGGCAGCAGGGAGATCTGTGCAAAGAAAGAGGTTTCTAATTTCAGGCAGCCACGGCCCGGGCAGTAGGACTTCCTTAAAGACTAACTAGTTCAATCATCTCCTATGGTGTTAACAGGATTCTACTGAGCCAGTCTCTAACCTGTGAATACCTGGTGCAACACAAAGCTGGCCTACAGACAGGAATGCCAGTAATCAAAAGTAGCAGTTTAATTAATTAATTTCATTATGAGGAACAGATTTACAAATTGAGAATTCTCTTGATCAGAATTCCACCTTTTCTCTGGTGAAGGCAGAGATTATACGCATAAATCTCGAGTGGGGAAGGAGGGGGGAGGTGGATTACAAGCACTCATCTCCCAGGGCCTGAGTGGTTTCCCACTACAAGCCCACAAGTCCACAATACAGGGGTCCTGGAGTCCTGTGGGAACATTATTGTTTCAGGTCCTTGGGGGTCATTACTTGGTGGGTCACAGGACCAGAGTTCCGTGACAGGAACAAGTTCTACAGTCTTTGACTTGCTTCACTTAAGGTACACAGGCCCAAGAATGCAGTGGTTGTGAGAGTGTAGTCAAGGGTTTGACTGATCATTTGAAGCTGCGCTATAGGTCTGACTCTCAAGCTAGAAGAGGCAATTTCAGAATCTAGTCTTTTAGTATATTCATTACATATATCCTATCAATCAATATGAAAAATCACAATTCCCTTCACAATGGATAACAAAATTGATGCTTGTGAAGGAAAGTGACCTAGCGATGGGCAAATCAAGGGCTATACCAGGTCTTCAGAGTACCAGCCAAAGCTGATCTGATGGGGACTGCAGGGATCTCTCTGCTGGTACAGGATTCTCTTGCTTTGCCCATGCTTGGATCTGGGTCACAGTTCTGGGTAGCGGTCCCCAGGGCGAGGAGGAGCGCTGGCATGGTGGAGCTTGTAGTGGCTGTGGAGAGAAAACCCTCACAGTTACAAGACTTGTGGTCACTCATAGACCAGAGCACAGGCCAGGAAAGGGGTAAACACCTCACCCTTGATCATAGCACCTTGGAAGAACTGAAAATTTACAGGTCCCTGGAAGTATCTCTGAAAACAGCTGCACAAAACCCCTGAAGCTTGGGACAGTATATTCTCCACACTGGAAACAGACTCCTACCTTAACAAAGAGTTTATAACTCAAACAACTGGCCGGGATCATGAGCAAGCAGCGCAAAAAGAGTCAGACTATATTATCTTACTTTGGTGACAAAGAAGATCAAAACTTACAACCAGAAGAAGACAACGAAGCCAAAGCTCCTACATTCAAAGCCTCAAAGAAAACTATGAATTGGTCCCAGGCCATGGAAGAGCTCAAAAAGGATTTTGAGAAGCAAGTAAAAGAAGTAGAGGAAACACTGAGAGTGATACTAAAGGAGACCCAAAAAAATACTGAAGAAAATAACACCTTAAAAAATAGCCTAACCCAAAAAGGCAAAAGAGGTCCAAAAAGCCAATGAGGAGAAAAATGCCCTAAAAAGCAAAATTGGCCAAATGGAAAAGGAAGTCCAAAAGCTTACTGAAGAAAATACTTCCTTAAAAATTAGAATGGAGAAATTGGAAGCTAGTGACAATTTGAGAAATAAAGGCACTGTAACACTAATCCAAAAGAATGAAAAAATAGAAGAAAATGTAAAATATTTCATTGGAAAAACAACTGACCCGGAAAATAGATCCAAGAGAGAGAACTTTAAAATTATTGGACTATCTGAAAGCCATGATCAAAAGAAGAGCTTAGACATCATCTTTCAAGAAATTATCAAGGAAAACTATCACCTCCTGAAAAAGATCCCAAAAGGAAAACTCCTAGGAATATTGTAGCCAAATTCCAGAATTCCCAGGTCAAGGAGAAAATATTTCAAGCAGCCAAAAAGAAACAATTCAAGTATTGTGAAACACAATCAGGATAACACAAGATTTAGCAGCTTCTACATGAAGGGACCAGAGGCCATGGAATATAATATTCTGGAGGGCGAAGGAGATAGGACTACAACCAAGAATCACCTACCCAGCAAAACTGAGTATAAATCCTTCAGGGTAAAAAATGGTCATTCAATGAAATAGGGGACTTTCAAGCATTCTTGAGGAAAAGACCAGAGCTAAATAGAAAATTTGACTTTCAAATACAAGACTCAAGTGAAACATGAAAGAGGTAAACAGGAAAGAGAAATCATAAGAGACGTATTAAGGTTGAAGTGTTTACATTCCTGCATGGAAAGATGATATTTGTAACTCATGAGTCCTTTGTCAATATTAGGGTAGTGGGAGGGGAAAAATATATGTATGCATGCATAGATAGAGGGCACAGGGTAGGTTGAAGATGAAGGGATGATATCCGGAAAATAAAATTAAGGGGTGAGAGAGGATTATACTGGGAGAAGGGGAAAGGGAGAAGTGGAATGGGGTAAATTATCTCACATGAAACAGACAAGAAAAGGCTTTTACAGTGGAGTGGAAATGGGGATAGTGAGAAGGAATGAGTGAATCTTATTCTCATAGGATTTGGCTTAAGGAGGGAATAACATACACAGTGGGGTATGGAAATCTATCTTATCCTACAGGAAAATAAGGGGGGAAGGGGATAAGAGAGCAGGGGTTTGACAGAGGGGAGGGCAGATTGAGGGAGGGGATAATCAAAAGCAAACACTTCTAGGAGTGACAGGGTCAAAAGAGAGAATAGAATAAATGGGGGTAGGATAGGATGAAGGGAAATATACTTAGTTGTTCACAACAGAACTACTATGGAAGTGTTTTGCATGACTACACATCTATAACATGTAACGGGATGCTTACCTTTTCAGTGAGGGTGGGTGGGGAGGGAGGAAGGGAGAAAATTTGTAAACCAAAGCTTTAAAAACATATGTTAAAAATTACAAAATTTTTTTAAATAAAATAAAATAAAAACAGAATATCAGCCAAAGAATACTCCTGTAGTACCATTATAGTTTTCTATAATGATGAGAAAAGATTTCCTCAATTTTAGGTTGGTCAATGCTCTCTTTAATTCTTCACTTAAGTCATGTTGTGAGAGGCTGTGAAAACACAAAGACATTTTGTTCAATATTTAGCTGAATTTCTTTGTAACCCTGATGTCTGTATCCTCAGTTAAGGACCTTCTTCTAGTCACTTCTACCTCCCATCCTTTCTCCCGTGTTTTGGTGTCTGTAACTGCGACTGTAACTATGACTCTGTGTGTGTGTATGTGTGTGTATGTGTGTGTGTGTGTGTGTGTGTTTATGAAAGTTACTGTAAAATGTTTTTTAAAAACTCATCTGTTACATCTGAAGTAAGTTTAAGATTTACCTTTCTAATGCCTTCCTCATGACTGCCTGAATGATCATCAGTAGAACACTTTATATGCATGGACTTCATTGGGGGCAGGTCCAGCACAGGCTGGACAGAATCTGCCCTCATAATCAGAGCCTAGACAGATGGTCGGTCCTATGTCTGGGTTCAAAAAACACCAAGTGGACAAATGCCAGAAAGGGGGAAACATGGATAAGCAACGTATGAAAAACATCTGGTTTTGCGAGTCTTTATGAGTAAACAGTATGACAAATAAGACAAAATAGCTAATGTGAATTTAGGCTTCATTAAGAGAAGCATAGGGTTACAAAAGGAGGCATGGGTTAGTCCTTCTGTACTCTGCCCTGGACAAGCCATGGTTGGATCATTGTATTCTTCTGGAGACAAAGGGGAGGCCCTCGTTTTCGGAAAGATATTGAGAAACTGAAGGATGTTCAGAACACAAGGATACAGAGGGGAATGACAAATAAGGAAGGAAAGAAACAAGCATGTATTAAGCACCTACTATGGAGCAGTTACTCACTGGAACATTACAAATATTACCTCATTTAATTTTCAAGACAACCCTGTGAATTAGGTGTTATTGTTCTCTCCACATTACAAGGAATCTGAGGCAGACAGATTTACGTGACTTGCTCAGGGTAACACAGCTACTAAGTATCTAAAGCCACATTTGAACTCAGATTTCTTCCTGATTCCAAACCTAGTGTTCTAGCCATGGTGCCTCCTCCACAGTACTGTGTGTGGGTCAGATAAGGAAGCTGAGGGAATAAGAGGAAGGCAGGGGTATGGTGGCTGAATTTTAGTATTTGAAGGTTAGGCATGAGAGGACTTTATTTTTTTGGGTTTGATTTTTATTGTTCTATTGAGGCAGGCAGGTGAAGGTAGAGATAATAAATATAAAAATAAATTTAATCTCTCTCCACATATATATGTATGTGTGTATATATGTATGTATGATACATTAACATATACATGCATATTTCAAATAAGCCTGTAAGTAATAGAGAGGCCTGATTAAGTACAGGATGGACTTGACCAGTGATGTCAAACCCAAATATAAATTAACCCATTAAAGTCACATATTGATTTAGAAGAGGGCAAATCTACCTTAATAAACAGTTTATAGCTCAAGTAATGGGCTGGGATCATGAGCAAGCAGCGCAAAAAGAGTCAGACTACATTATCTTACTTTAGTGACAAAGAAGATCAAAATATACAACCAGAAGAAGACAACAAAGTCAAGGCTCCTACATCCAAAGCCTCCAAGAAAAATATGAATCAGTCCCAGGTCTTGGAAGAGCCCAAAAAGGATTTTGAGAAACAAGTAGGAGAAGTAGAGGAAAAACTGGGAAGAGAAATGAGAGTGATGTAAGAAAATCATGAAAAACAAGTCAACAGCTCACTAAAAGAGACCTAAAAAAATACTGAAGAAAATAATAACTTAAAAAATAGCCTAACCCAAATGGTAAAAGAGGTCCAAAAAACCAATGAGGAGAAGAATGCCCTAAAAAGCAAAATTGGCCAAATGGAAAAGGAAGTCCAAAAGATTACTGAAGAAAATACTTCCTTAAAAATTAGAATAGAGTAATTGGAAGCTAGTGACTTTATGAGAAATTAAGACACTGTGAAACAAATCCAAAAGAATGAAAAATTAGAAAACAATGTGAAATATATTATTGGAAAAACAACTGACTTGGAAAGTAGATCCAGGAGAGAGAATTTAAAAAATTATTGGATCATCTGAAAGCCACGATCAAAAAAAGAGCCTAGACATCATCTTTCAAGAAATTATCAAGGAAAACTGCCCTGATAGTTTAGAACCAGAGGGCAAAATAGAAATTGAAAACTCCACAGATCTCCTCCTGAAAGAGATCCCCAAAGGAAAACTCCTAGGAATATTGTAGCCAAATTCTAGAGTTCCCAGGTCAAGGAGAAAATATTACAAGCAGCCAAAAGAAAAATTCAAGTATTGCAGAAACACAATCAGGATAACACAAGATTTAGCAGCTTGTACATTAAGGGACCAGAGCGCACGGAATATAGTATTCCAGAGGGCAAAGGAGATAGGACTACAACCAAGAATCACCTACCCAGCAAAACTGAGTATAATCCTTCAGGGGGAAAAAATGGTCATTCAGTGAAATAGAGGACTTTCAAGCATTCTTGATGAAAAGACCAGAACTGAATAGAAAATTTGACTTTCAAATACAGGACTCAAGTGGAACATGAAGAGGTAAACAGGAAAGAGAAATCATAAGAGACGTATTAAGGTTGAAGTGTTTACGTTCCTGCATGGAAAGATGATATTTATGACTCATGAGATCTTTGTCAGTATTAGGGTACTTGGAGGGAAAAAATTATGTGTATGTGAGTATGTAGATATAGATATAGATATATAGATATAGATAAAGATAGATAGATAGATAGATAGATAGATAGATAGATAGATAGATAGATAGATAGATAGATAGATAGATGGCACAGGGTGAGTTGAAGATGAAGGGTCTTACCTGGAGAATAAAATTAAAGGGTGAGAGAGGACTATACTGGGAGAACGAGAAAGAGAGAGGTAGAAGGGGGTAAATTATCTCACAAAAAAAACAGAAGAGAAAAGGCTATTACAGTGGAGGGGAGACAGGGAAAGGTGAGAGGGAATGAGTGAATCTTTTTCTTATAGGATCTGGCTTGAGGAGGGAATAACATACACACTCAATTGAGTATGGAAATAGGTCTTACCCTACAGGAAAATAGGGGGAGAAGGGGACAAGAGAGCAGGGGAATGATAGAGAGGAGAGCAGATTGGGAAAGGGGGTAATCAGAAGCAAACACTTCTGAGGAGGGACAAGGTCAAAAGAAAGAATAGAATAAATGGCAGGCAGAATAGAATTAAGGGAAATAGAGTTAGTTTTTCACAACATGACTACTATGGAAGAGTTTTGCATAACTGCACACGCATAACCTATATTGAGTTGCTTGCCTTTTCAATGAGGGTGAGTGGGGAGGGAGGGGAGGAGGAAATGTGGAACCCAAAGTTTTGAAAATAATGTTTAAAAAAAATGTTTTCACATGCAACTGGAATATGAGAAATACAGGAAATGGGGTACAGAAATCTATCCTGCCCTACAGGAAAGTAGAAGGGGAAGGGGATAAGAGAAGGGGGGGGAGATACAGAAGGGAGGGCAGACTTGGGAAGGGATATTCAGAATGCATTCCATCTTGGTGTGGGGGAGGGATGAGATGGGGTGAAAATTTAGTGCTCAAAATCTTGTGGAAGTAAAGGTTGAAAACTAAAATAAATTTTTAAAAAAATATTATTGAATATAGAAATCTATCTTACCCAACAGGGAAGTAGGATGGGAGGAAGATACATAAAGGGGGGGAGGGGTAACAGAAGGGAGGGTAGATCAGGGAAGGTGGTAGACAAAAGCAAAACACTGGTGAGGTTGGATAGGGTGAAAGGAGAGAGAAGACAAACAGGAGGAAGAATAGGATGGAAGGAAATACACAATCTTAACTGTGAATGTGAATGAGATGAACTCTCCCATAAAATGGAAGCAGATAACAGAGTAGATAAAAAAAAAAAAACAGAATCCTACAGTGTATTGCTTACAAGAATTCAGCTCACTTCTGAGAGTCTGGTCCAATCAACAAGTGTTTTGAGTTAGTCAAGGCGCCGAAGTCCAATGGACTGCTTCAGATGCCACCCTTCAAGTACAATAGTATTCTATATCCGGAAAATAGTACTGACCATGTGTTGCCTATTAACATGGAGCAATTAACTATCCATTCACACTGATGATCAAAACTTTGGAGACAAACAGAAAATCCACAAATCCAGCAATTACCTGATCATGCTGTCTTCCTAATATCAGGTTCCAGTGAAGCCATTAGAGGCTAAATCCACTGAATACAACTTTTGGAATTACAAAGAAAAGAAAAACAGAAAGGACAAGAAACTAAAATTTTCTCCACCTAAAAAGAAATTAAGCTCAACTGGAAAAGGAAAAAGTAAATGCCAGAAGAAAGAAAGAAAGAAAAGCAAGAAAAGGAATGGAAAGGAAAGAAAGGGGAGGGAAGAATGATTTCCTGGATAGAAAAGCAAAATCTTCTTTCTAATGAAATCCTGGGTCTAACTGGTAGGAATTGTGTTATCAAACTCCCTTCATTGCTCTCCTAAACTGGAATGGCCTGGCTGCCTGCCCAAAAAAAACATAACTTTCTATCACGCTTCCTCCACCACTCTACTGGACTGACAGGGCTGTCTCTGAGGATGGAAACTATAATAATAAAGTCCCTTCCATTGGAAGGAGTCCAAGGCCATTCTCTCCAGTACCTGCCCCCACACTCATGGTGCCTTTACCACTACCAAAAGCCTCATCCACTCACCTCCTTCATGCTACACATTGGCACCATATCCCTAAGAGGACTCCATGCTGAGGACAAACCCCTACGTCCACTCATTCCTCATTGGGAAGGAAGGATGGTAGGAAGGAAAGAAGGATGGTAGGAAGGAAGGAAGGAAGGAAGGAAGGAAGGAAGGAAGGAAGGAAGGAAGGAAGGAAGGAAGGAAAACAAGCAAGCACTCAGAAGTGAACTAAACCATTTCCCCTGCCTAATATAAGCTAGGTGACTAAGTGGCTAGAGTGGTGGGCCTGGTGTCAGAAAGACACTATTTGTAATACAGCCTAAGACACTTCCTAGGTGTCTGTGGGACTTGGGGTCTCCAGCTGAAAAATGATGAATAATCCTAGCCACATAGGTCACAGGGGTGTCCTGAGATAGGAAAAAATGAGAGAAAGGGCTTAAGTCTACCTCATCCCCAGCCCCACCCCCACCTTCACATGTTGGAGAAGATGCCTGAGTGGAGAAGGTTGTACTGCCCTCATTGCACAGATGCCTCAAGGACAAAAAGAAGTGGAGCTAATTGGAGGCCCCTATGAAGCCCCAGAGGCAAAGCTGCTCCACTTGACCAGCTCAGGCTAAAGCAGTCTGCCTTATCAAAAGACACACAGGAAAGAGGGAGGCTGGGAAAAGGAGAGAGAGGAGGGGGCCCTAATGCTTTCTGTGCATGTCCTTTTCTGGCTTCCCCGCTACCTCTGCCTCTG